CCCAGGGTGATAAGCCCTGGGGCTCCAGGGGTGACTGAGCTGGGGCCGCACTGCCATGGGCCAGACCCTATGTGCTGCCATGGGAGCGAGGGGGGGAGAGGCCAGGCATGTGCACCCCCCACGCTGCGCATACCAAAGGGCCGGCCCCCTTTTCTGCGAGTCTCGGCCGTCTCGAAGAAGGTCTCGTGCTCCTCCCAGCGCCGGTCGCAGGCTGCACACAGGAAGTTGGACTCAAAGCAGACGCACCAACAGCCTGTGTGGGGAGGGCAGGGCTCAGCCCGGTGGGGATTCAGGGCCCCTGGGTTTTGGCCAGAGCATCCGAGAGTCCCCAGCACCCTCCCTCACCCTCCCCCTAGCACCGGCAGCCTCCAGCCAGAGCACACCCAGCCACAGGCACCAGGGAGACACTTTCTGTGCCACACGGTTGGCAGGAAATGCCCAGGGGACATGCAGTGACAGCTCACGTGCACACACGCACATGCACACGGTGACAGGCCACATATACATGCACACATGCACACACAGACACACACACACACATTCACACAGAGTGACAGCCCACACGCACCCCCACCCCCACATGTACACACACAGTGACAGCCTGTGATGAAGCAGGACTGTTCTTAATGTTTCCTCTGAATAGTGTGGGGGTGCCTCAGTTTCCCCTAGGCAGTTCTTAAGTCTCTAGGGGCTGGGATAAGGGTGTATGATCATTGCAGAGCCCTGGAGGGCAGGTGTGTGCAGGGGTCTGGACACAGAGAATGGCCGACACCCTGTTTCCTGGCAACTGATGGCCTGGGCCCTTCCCCCCTGCAAGGTGAGAGCTAAAGGGTTGGAGAACAAAGGAATCAGGTGCCCTCCTGGCCCGGGAAAGGAACAAAGCCCAGAGCAGGAGGGGCTGGAGGGAGTTTCAGTTTGGGGCTGGCTGGGGACGAGGTCTGGCTCCCGGCCCCCCCAAAATGGACCCAGCTGAGGGGTCCTGTTCTCTGCACCTACAAGCTCTGTGTTAGACCATGTTCCTGTCATCTAATAAACCTTCTGTTTTACTGGCTGGCTGAGAGTCCCGTCTGACTGCGGAGTTGGGGGGCAGGACCCTCCGGTTTCCCCAGGACCCCGCCTGGGCGGACTCGCTGTGGGAAGCACACGGAGGGGCAGAGGAGGCTGAATGCTCCGAGGTCAGACCCAGGAAGGGGGAAGCCGGGTGAGCTGTGTGTCCTGCAGACAGGCTGCTCCCGGAGAGGAGACTTCCCCAGAGTCCTGCCTGGCTTCGTGGGGAGCAGTTCCAGAGCATGGCCCGGGGACGCCGTGACACAGCCCGTGTGAATACTACCCACACACACGCACACGCACTCGCAGTGACAGCCCACATGTCCACCCCCCCGGCAGGCACGCACACGCTCTCTGCCCCGCGGCCGCACTCCCGGCCCGTAGCTGCCCCCACCTGCGGCTCGACAGGCGCGGCGGGCGCTGGGCGCGTGCTCCTCGTGGCTGTGCTGGCAGCGGCATGTGGCCCGCCAGGTGGAGGGGTCGAAGCCAGCTCTCCTCCTCAGCCAGAACTCGCCCACGTCCTCGGGCCGGGAGGGGATGAAGATGAAGCTCTGACATTTGCAGCTGGGCACGATGCAGGGCATCCGCGCCCGCGTCTCTGCAGAGCAAGTGCCCGTCACCCCTTGGGCCACACACAGCAAGCCCTCCCCACCCCGGGGAGAGCCCCAGGAACTGTCCGGGGGGCACTGCCCCATAGAGCCCTGCAGGCTGGGGTGCACGGGTGCTGAGCTGGGGGCACTGCCCCATAGAGCCCCCAGGCTGGGGGGGGGCAGGCTCTGAGCTGGCAGTCTGGGTGTGGGAAGGGGGAGAGTCTCTCTTCGGGGCTTGGCTGTCTCAGGATCCCCCGCTCTGCCCCAGAGAAAGCCCAGCCTTTGAACACTGCCAGGCTGCTGCTACAGAGACCTGCCTGCTTCTGAAGGGCCCCACCCCAGCACCCCTGCCCCACAGCCTGGGGCCAACAGAGGAGGGGACCGAGCAGCAGACAAGCTCAGAGGCAGCAGGAGGGGATTGGAGCTGGGTGTGCAATGAGGGACCCCTGCCCTGGCCCTGGGGGATGGGCACACGGGCTCCATGGGATAGAGTGGGGCTGACCCATTACTGCCAGCCTAGAGTGCACGAGGCTGGCGGGGAGCAGGGCCAAGAGGGGAACTGGTGCCTGGAGAGCTCACACACTACCCCTAGTTCCTGCCAGCCCTTCCCCACTGAACCCGGGCAGCCCAGACCCCCGACACAGGCCTGGTGCTCCCCCGCCTCCACCAGCCCTACCCCATGGCGCCTCACTACCCCATACTCACCAACACGGGCCTGGTGCTCCCCAGACCCCGCCAGCCCTGCCCCTCGACACCCAGGCACCCCGTACCCCCTAGTGCCCCACCAGGCCCTGCCAGCCCTGCCCAATGGCACCCCCGGGCATACGGTACTCACCAACATGGGCCTGCCAGCCCTTCTGCATGACACCCGGGCACCCCGTACCCCCTGACACAGGCCTGGCACCCCCCCAGGCCCCACCAGCCCTGCCCCAGAGCACCCGGCTGCCCCGTACTCACCAACACGGGCCTGGCACCCCCCAGACCCCCGCCAGCCCTGCCCCAGAGCACCTGGCCGCCCGCACCTACCAACATAGACCTGGTGCTCCCGCAGGAGGTGCCCGCAGAAGCACTTGGAGAGGTCACCCACGCGGAAGCAGTCCCACAGATACTGGGGCAGCGCCAGCCGATGTAAGACCTGTGGGCAGGAGGGGGTCAGACCTGTCCAGGATCCTCCATCTCCTGCGCTGGTGGCCCCAGCCAGGTCCTGGGCTCCCGAGTTACATGCTGCACCCCCTTAGTCCCAGGCTAGGCTCCCTGGCCTCTCCTGAGCCCCCCAGCTCCAGCCCGCGGGGCTCGGCGCCATTCCCCAGCGAGCAGAGGGGTCCTGCGCCCCCCGCGAAGGGCCCTACCTGTCTGCATGGCCTTGAGGGCCGCCTCCCTCTCCAGGTGGAACAGCTCCTGCACCTCCCTGCCGAACTGCTCCCGGTGCATGGCCTTGGCCACCGCCACCAGCTCGGCCCTCCTGGCCGGGACGATGGGCCGCACCGAATAGCCTGGGCAGAGACGGGGCGGGGTGAGTGGGCAGGGGCAGCCTCCCCACCTGGGACCCTCCCCGACCCATGGGGCCTGGCCCGGCTCTCTGAGCCCAGGCTCTGCATGGGACTGACTGCCCGGAGCCCCCACTCAGGGTAGCAGAGCTGGCAGCCAGCCCACCCTGGCTCTGCCGGTGCCCCTCACTTCCAACCCACACCCCACTGCTAGCTGCCCTGGGCGCCCCGTAGTCCTGCCGGTGGCCCTCACTTCCAACCCACATCCCCCTGCTAGCCCAGCCCTGGGCACCCCATAGTCCTGCCGGTGGCCCTCAATCCCAACCCACACCCCGCTGCTAGCCCAGCCCTGGGCTCCCCACAGTCCTGCCGGTGCCCCTCAATCCCAACCCACACCCCCCTGCTAGCCCAGCCCTGGGGGCCCTTCACCCCACAACACCGCTGATGCCCCTCACTCCTGACCCACACCCCGCTGCTAGCCCAGCCCTGGGCTCCCCACAGTCCTGCCAGTGCCCCTCACTTCCAACCCACATCCCCCTGCTAGCACAGCCCTGGGCGCCCCATAGTCCTGCCGGTGGCCCTCAATCCCAACCCACACCCCACTGCTAGCCCAGCCCTGGGCGCCCTTCACCCCACAGCACTGCTGATGCCCCTCACTCCTGACCCACACCCCCCTGCTAGCCCAGCCCTGGGCTTCCCAAACATAGCCCTGCCGGAGCCCTCAACCCTGATCTGCAGCCTCTGCTACCCAAGCTAGGGGGTTCCCCTACTCCTGGACCCCTCAATCCCCATTCATCGCCTTGGGTGCTGGGGCACGTTTACACCCTCTTCTCCTAGCCATGCCCCTCCCCCAGCCTTTTACCTGGCAGGGCGTGGGGCTCAGGGTTGGGGGGAGATCGGCTGGGTCAGAGCCGGGAGGTCGCGCTGGTGCTGGAGGCGGCTTCGCAGCCCTGGATCCCGAGGCCTCAGCTCACCCCATCGAGGGGAGATGGGGCCCCGTGGCCCATTCGGCCCTTGGCATTGCCGGCCCCAGCGCCAGCTCTGGGTTACTCCCGGGGGTGGGGGTGACCTACCCACAACCGCTGTCTTCGCTGCTTTCTTCTTCGTGCCCCCCAGGGGCTTGTGCTTCGTCTGGGTGTGGATGTCGGTCACTTCCACCTCCTCCTGGTCCTCCTCCTCGTCGGCCTCCACCCCAGCCCCAGCCGGCTCCTCGTGGGACGGGCCCGAGGGCTCCTGGCCTGGCGGGGGGGACGGATCCGAGGGCTCCTGGCCTGGCAGGGGGGACGGATCCGAGGGCTCCTCGGCCGGCAGGGGGGACGGGCCCAAGGGCTCCTGGCCTGGCGGGGGGGACGGATCCAAGGGCTCCTCGGCCGGTGGGGGCGACCAGCCCCCCTTGCCCTCCATGCTGGACTCCTCGCCCTCCATGGCTGGTTCTGCCCAGACAAAGGGTGGGCCAAGCCTGGGGCCTGGGGCCAGCTGTTGTTGGATGCTAGGTTACGGCTGTTGTCTGTTGCTAGGTAACTGCGGTGGCCGTGGTGACTCTGGGAGCAGCCCAGGGATTGGCCAGGGAGAGAACTGGGCTGCGTGATACCCCCTGACTGGCCCAGCTCTGATAGCCCCCTGGGGGACAGGGCTGCGGGGTCACAGGGGCAGCACCCCAGGTCCCTGCAGGGATGTGGGGTCACAGTGCTGGTTTCATGATTGCCCAAGGGGGAATCAGATACCAGGGTGATGGGTGCAGGAGACTGACAGGCGGGGGAGGCAGGTGTGGGGTCAGAGGGGCCGGGGGTTACTGGGGAGCAGAGTGATGTTTTAATTAGGAGGGGCAGTATGGGGAAGTGGTTAGAGCAGGGGGCTGGGGCCAGGACTCCTGCGTTCTGTTCCCAGGCTCCGTCTAGGTTACACAGGGATGCTAATCTACTGGGGGGGGGGGGGGGGGTGTGAGGCGGTGCCCCAGCAGAGCACTCTACAGCACAGCAAGGAGGCCCCGTTCCCACAACAACAGGAAGGGGGCCATCCCCAAAGCAACAGGAACAATGGGAAGGAGGATCAGGCAGGGGTAGGCTCAGGGTAGTGCTGAGGTCAACGTACTTGGGTTGATGCAGTGTTAGTGTAGACACCGTGTTGCTTATGTAACCTTTCCGCCAGGTGGAGCCGGCAGCAACCAGGGCCGGGTTCCATGTCTAGAGGTTCCTTTCCATCCATCCAACACAGAACCGGCTCGAGCCCCCACCCAGTGACCTGGGACAATTACACCCCAGCTCTGGGCACCTCTGAGAGGCAAAACTTCCCCCCTCACAAGCACAGAGTCCGAGGGTAGAAAAGAAACTTTTAATAAAAGGAGGGAAGTAACTCGGAGTGAATTTGGGAAAACACCACACACAGGGTTCATAAACCTAAACCATGAGTAAAGACCCACCCCCAAGTAGGTCTGGCAGTGCCCTTTTCCCCTCAGGGTCTTAGCTCCAGCAACCCAAAAGTCCCTTTCACATGCCAGGCCCGACCCTTCTCTGCACCCCCCCTCACAGTTGCTGTCCTCCGTCAGTGCAGACCCAGAGTTCACCTCTCCCCTGCGTGGGGTAAAGAGGCACCTTACTCGCTCCGCTGCTTGGGCACTCGCTCGCTGCTTCCACTGGCCACCTGCTCACCGCTGCACCAGCCACTCGGTCACCAGCCGACTGTCAGTCGCCTTCTGCCTCTCGGCTGTGACCTTGGCACATCCGTCTCTGAGTGATTGCCAGCTCTGTGCAGGCTGCCCCATCTCAAGGGATTCCAGCTCTCAGTGGTTTTAGCTCTTAGCAGGCAGGGCAGAAACACAGTCCTACTGCAACCCGTTCCAGCTCTGACTGGGCATTTAACAGAACAAAGAGGCGCCTAAGGAAGCCTATTTAGCTCTATTCTTTGAGCAGTGGAGGGAGCAGACCAGGGAGGCCCCTGCAGTGTACGCAGCCTCCAAGCTGGGGAAACCTGCTTCCACCCCTGTTACTGTCAGAGGACTCTGACATTCAAGCTCCCGACTTAATCAGGTTCTTGCAACTGAGGGGGACAGGTTGAGCACACTCCTGGTTTCCTGTATTCCTACAATAATTACAGTGTTGGTAACCATATTTCACTACCCCGGAGTTCAGCACTAAGGTGATTTGTACCCAACATCAGCCACAGTTGATCACTTTTTGCTGCATATGTAAGCAGAGTAGGAACATAAACACAGCCAAGTCTCCCCCTCCCAGCTAGCCGTCAGGGAAGCAGTGATTCAGCCCCTGCTTACACTTGCATTGACTGTTGCTGCCTTTCAGAAGCCATCCCACAATGCCCGCCACTGACAGCTAAATTGGCACATGCGCTCCTGGTGAGAACGCACACCACCAACACAAGGAGTGTAGTGTGGATGTGTAAAACTGATTCACTGATGCAGTGGCCGTACGTCAGTGTAACTTAGGTCAACTTAATTTTGTAGTGTAGACTTGCCTTACCCTGCCCTGAGAGCAAATAATCCTTTTCCACCCACTGGATAACATTGCAGCGCATTGGGGAAACTGAGACACACACAGGCTTCATAAAAATATTACAAACCATTCCCCCTTCATCACAAAGGGTCCCTGTATAAACAACTCCTTGCCCTACCCCAGAGGGGCCACATCTCAGCACTGGGCAAAGGGTCCCTTCATGAACAACCCTGTGCCCCACCCCAGAGGTGACGGCATCTCAGACCCAAGCGAGGGGTCCCTGTATAGACAACCCAGTGCCCAGAGGCAGTTACAGAGGGGCAGGGATCCAGGCTGTCCCAGGGCACTCTGGTGGGGATGTGCAGTGAGGCTGACTGGCCTTCCGCCCCACTTGAGAGCGAGGGACCACTACAGCATGGGGCCGCAGCAGCTCTGACGTCTTAGAAGCCGATATTCCAAGTGCTTAGCTGCACCCCCTGCCCTGCGCTCTGGGTGGTGGGTATTTCAGCCCCTTCTTGATGGGTCTCGGGCCGAGTCTGGCTGCAGGATGGTGTTAAAGATTCTCTAATTGATCCTCTGACCCCGTTCGCCCCTTGCAGCCTGTGCCCATGGAGCTCAGAGCCACAGTGCAGTGTGGAGATGGAACAGCCCCATGACACTAGCAAGCCAGATGCCAGCTCATGCCAAGGTCCCCAGGTCTCAGCTGAACACTGACAAGTACTTGGATGGCCCAAGTCTGACTCACCTGGGTGTTAGTGTCATTAAAATAGGTTGTTAAAATAGGTGTTAGAGTTATAGGGATGTGACGTTATTGACATAAACTATGACCGTATAGATCATTGTTGCAACCACTATTATATATTTGCAACAAATATTGTACAAAGGTTGTCATGTGAGGTGTCTCTGAAAAGCTTATGATTTGCTGGTTAGGATGATGCTGTCTGTCTGGGTGTATCATTTTTGTAGTTGAAGTTATGAATATAGGCTCTGTACTTGTATCTCAAATGTATTTGATTCCAAGTAGCCTCAGTGAAGCATTTGGTCAGCTTCTCGAGAAAGGACTATTCTCAGTAAGGGCCCAATCAAGAAACAATTAACTGACAATGGACTTTGGGAGATGCCAATCCACATCTGAGCTTTCCTGGGAACGTTAAAACTAACATGTAAACATGGCATCCGCCTGCAAAGAACTGAGTCATGCATGGACATGTGACTTGCCCATGGGACACCAGACTCCATCTTGCTGCTGTGGTGTCCTTCCATGGGCAGAGGATATAAAAGACCCTGAAAACTCCTCCATCTTGTCTTCAATCCTGCTTCTGACATCTGGAGGGACTTTGCTACAAACTGAAGCTCTGAACAAAGGACTGAAAGACCCATCCCAGCTGTGGATGTTCTCCAGAGACTTGATTTGAACCGGAAGTTTATTCCATCCTTGCTGCAAGGCTGAACCAAGAGCTTTGCCATGACTGTATGTCATTGATTCCATGTAACCAATTCTAGCTCTCATCTGTATTTCTTTCCTTTTATGAATACACCTTTAGATTTTAGATTCTAAGGGACTGGCAACAGGGTGATTTGTGGGTAAGATCTGATTTGTATATTGACCTGGGTCTGGGGCTTGGTCCTTTGGGATCGAGAGAACCTTTTTTCTTTTACTGGGGTATTGGTTTTCATAACCGTTCATCCCCATAACGAGGGGCACTGGTGGTGATACTGGGAAACGGTAGTGTCTAAGAGAATTGCTTGTGTGACTTATGGTTAGCCGGTGGGATAAAACCAAAAGTCCTCTCTGTCTGGCTGGTTTGGTGCCTTATACGTGGAGAAAACTCAGCCTGGGTCTGTAACTGCCCTGCTCTAAGCAATTTGTCCTGAATTGACACTCTCAGAAGTGTCCCACCAAAGGCAGCATTGTTACAAGGGATGTGTTACGGTTTGGACTTTATTGCATGCTGGTGAGTTGGTGTTAATTTCTCCAATAACATCTGTGTCCCTCATTGTAAGCACCAGACGCTTCAGGCCCCTGTGCTCCGGGGATGTGGAAAATTTGGAAAACATCCAGTGGAGGGCAACAAAACTGATTAGGGGACTGGAACACATGAGTTATGAGGAGAGGCTGAGGGAACTGGGATTGTTTAGTCTGCGGAAGAGAAGAATGAGGGGGGGATTTGATAGCTGCTTTCAACCACCTGAAAGGGGGTTCCAGAGAGGATGGCTCTGGACTGTTCTCAGTGGTAGCAGATGACAGAACAAGGAGTAATGGTCTCAAGTTGCAGTGGGGGGAGGTTTAGGTTGGATATTAGGAAAAACTTTTTCACTAGGAGGGTGGTGAAACACTGGAATGCGTTACCTAGGGAGGTGGTAGAATCTCCTTCCTTAGAGGTTTTTAAGGTCAGGCTTGACAAAGCCCTGGCTGGGATGATTTAATTGGGGATTGGTCCTGCTTTGAGCAGGGGGTTGGACTAGATGACCTCCTGAGGTCCCTTCCAACCCTGATATTCTGTGATTCTATGAACCACGCTGAGTCTCTGTGGGAGTCAGGCCAGCCAGCCCCAGCCAGCCAAGGCAGAGCGCTCTGGGAAGGGAACCACAGGAGGAAGGGACCTGCCTGGCCCAGGGGCGGAGTGTGGGTGTGGGTGGGGCCACTCTAGGCTGTTTGGGAGGGCACAGCCTACCCTTGCCTATGATATCCACCACCCGTGGTTCAGATGCTCAATAAACCTTCTGTTTCCCCGGCTGACTGAGAGTCACGTCTGACTGCGGAGTTGGAGGGCAGGGACCCTCTGGCTTCCTCAGGAGCCCGCCTGGGTGGACTGGCTGTGGGAAGCGCACGGAGGGGCAGAGGATGCTGAATGCTCGAGGTCAGACCCAGGAAGGTGGAAGCTGTGTGAGCTGTGTGTCCTGCAGACAGGCTGCTCACAGGAAGGCGACTGCCCCAGAGTCCTGCTTGGCTTCACAGGGAGCAGTTCCAGAGCATCGCCCGGGGACACTGTGACAAGCTCCCATTACAAAGATTGGTAAGTTGGGCAAGCCAGACGAGG